CAAGAAACGCCCACTGACGGATTCTGCCAGTGACTGAGGCAGTCACAATTAGAAAGGGCTGTGCAGTCAGAAAGGTTTAACAAGGCAAATTAGCCTAGAGAGGCACCAGTTTACGCACGAGTAACTCATACTCATCACAGATGCCTATTATGTCATATTTAGTTTGCTGTACCAAGAGCTCAAGCTCATCTTGTTTATTTCCCATGCTTTTATTTCCCATCTCCACAAGTATAGAGGGACAGAATCTACCAATCAACGTCCCAGCACACTCCTTCCACCCAAGGGATTGGATCCTGGTTAAAGTGTACCAGAAGCTGCCCCTTCAACCTGCCTGGGAGGGCGCGTACCAAGTACTTCTAACCTCGCCTACTGCTGTGAAGGTGGGAGAAAAGAACGCCTGACTACATCACACTAGGTGCAAGGCAGCACCACCACCCCAGGAGGCGCAGGAGAGCCAGGGAGAGGACTACACCTTTGATGCCCCGCCTCCCGCCGCAACCTCCTACATCAACGAGGACGAGGACCAACAGACCGGACCAGATCGGGGTCAGGATCAGGCCCAACAGACCGGACCAGATCGGGGTCAGGATCGGGCCCAACAGACCGGACCAGATCAGGGTCAGGATCGGGCCCAACAGAGCGGACCAGATACCACCTCTGAGCCCATCTGGACCTCCGAAGTTGTCCCGGACACAACCGCCATCAAACTACACCTCAAACATGTTTGACAGCTCAACTGACAGCTCCACTGACAGCTCATTGCTTCGTCGCTTTCCTTCAGCGCTCCGTTTGACAGCTCAACTGACAGCTCACCACTTCATAGCTCAACTCCTCTTTTCCGAGCGCCAACCCAGCCCTCCGTTCATCCTGTTTACCACCCCGCTGCTGAACATGGAATATTCCCCACCCTTTTTATCCTCTCCTCCCTGACCAGGATCTCTGCTTTCGCGTTGAGCCACTGCACTGGATTACAAACAAACTACAGTGGTGCCCCGCAAGACGAACGCCTCGCAAGACGAAAAACTCGCAAGACGAATTTCCCTATGAGCTTGCTTCACAAGTTTGTTTCCTTTTTCATAAAACCGTTAAAACCCAGGGTGCATTGCTGGAAGAGGTGCAGTTGCGACTTGACTTCGAGGAGCAACACATTGCACGCGGTGTGGTGGCCTTTTTGAGCTTTTTAAAGAGTTTGCTGAATTTTTGAAGCTTTTCCAAAACTTCTTTTGCAGCTGTTTGGTAAGTTAAACTTTTAAAACTTTTTTGAGGGTTTTTGGATTTTGGGTTGGGGTGTTTAGAATTCAAGGACTTGGTGTTGGGGAGAGGTTTGCAAGAATCTGGGAGCTTGTGTGGTTTTTTTCTGCATTTTTATGATTTTCTGTGACCATTGGGCCATGTTTATTTTTTTTAAAAAAAAATCTGGGTTTGAATTTCTGTGTGCTGGGTGGATGGGGGAACAGCTGGGGAGGGGTTTGCAAGAATCTGGGAGCTTGTGTGGTTTTTTCTGCATTTTTATGATTTTCTGTGACCATTGGGCCATGTTGGGTTTTTTTTGAAAAAAAATTCTGGGTTTTGAATTTCTGTGTGCTGGGTGGATGGGGGAACAGCTGGGGAGGGGTTTGCAAGAATCTGGGAGCTTGTGTGGTTTTTTCTGCATTTTTATGGTTTTCTGTGACCATTGGGCCTTTGTTGTTTTTTGAAAAACCATTGTTGTTTTTTGAAAAAATTTTCTGGGTTTTGAATTTCTGTGTGCTGGGTGGCTGGGGGAACAGCTGGGGAGGGGTTTGCAAGAATCTGGGAGCTTGTGTGGGGGTTTTTTTGAATTTTTATGGTTTTCTGTGACCATTGGGCCATGTTGGATTTTTTGGAAAAAATTTCTGGGTTTTGAATTTCTGTGTGCTGGGTGGATGGGGGAACAGCTGGGGAGGGGTTTGCAAGAATCTGGGAGCTTGTGTGGTTTTGTTTTTTTTTAATTTTTATGGTTTTCTGTGACCATTTGGCCATGTTGTTGTTTTTTGAAAAAATTTCTGGGTTTGAATTTCTGTGTGCTGGGTGGATGGGGGAACAGTTGAGGAGGGGTTTGCAACAGTTGGGGAGGGTTTGCACCAGTTGGGGAGGGGCTGGGGAACAGTTGAGGTTTTTGAAGACTTTGGTGATTTTTAAAGCTTTCCCAAAACTTCTTTTGCAGCCATTTGAGGATTTTGAAGACTTTGGTGATTTGCAGCCATTTCGTAAGTTAAACTTTTAAAACTTTTTTTGGGGGGGTTGGATTTTGGGTTGGGTGTTTGGAATTCAAGGACTTGGTTCTGGGTTTGAATTGCTGATTTTTTTCTTCTTTTTCTGAGTTTACGAAGGTAAGAGCTGTGCTGCCATGGGACCCAAGAAGACTGCTGCTGCTGCGGAGGCCGGCGAGAGGAAGAAGGAGAAGGTGACGCTGGAAATGAAGAAGGAGATCATCTGGAAGCACGACGGTGGAATGCGTGTGACGGACCTCGCCAGGGAGTACGGCAGGAACCCATCGACCATCGGGACCATCCTGAAGATGAGGGAGAAGATCCTTGCGACTGATGCAGCCAAGGGAGTCACCAGGATCGTGAAAAACCGCCCAGCTGTTCTGGAGGAGGTCGAGAAGTTGCTGCTCATCTGGTTAGAAGAGAAGCAGCGTGCAGGGGACACAGTGACTGAGGCCGTCATTTGTGAGAAGGCCAAGGCCTTGCACGCAGACCTCATCCGGGAACAGCCAGGAACCTCAGGCGAGCCAGAAGTCTTCAATTTCAAAAAACTCTACACCAAGGAGCTTTTCAGGCGATGCTTCGAGGTGACTGATTGCACCACCATCACCCTGCGGGAATTCTGGAAGGACCACTTCGACATCGTCACCTGCTTGAAGATGATCACCACGGCCTGGAACGGGATCAGTCAGAGAAATTTGAATTGCGCTTGGCGCAGCCTGTGGCCGGACTGTGTGGCACCAAGTGACTCTGATGCACCAGAGTCAAAAGTGGTGCAGGACATTGTTGCCTTGGGGAGGACCATGGGCCTGGAGGTCACAGAGGAGGACGTCTGCGAGCTGGTGGAGGAGCACGACCACGAGCTGACCACCCAGGAGCTGGTTGAACTGCAGTCAGAGGTTGCGCAGGAGCAGGCCTCGCTGGAAGAGGAGGAAGCAACTGAGGAACGGCCGTCCTCCAAAGAACTGAGGGACATTTGCCAGAAGTGGAAGGAGGTGCAGGCTTTGCAGAGCGGCACCACCCTAACAAGCACGTGGCACATGACCAAGCGAACACTTTTGATACGACGGTCATGTTGCCTCTCAGGGAGCTGCTGAAAAGGCGGATGAAGCAGCAGACCATGGACAGGTTCCTCAGCAAGAAGCAAAGAGTGGAAGAGGAACCTTCTTCGAGTGGTCCCCCCAGAGTCTTAGAAAATGTATGTACAGTACACTTTGTTGATTTTTAAATGTTTTTCTGTCATGTTTAGAAACTTAATTTACTGTTCCTTCAATTTTTGATATGCTCTTTAAAGTATGTGTGACTTTAAAGAGCAGTTAATAAACTATTGTTGTACCAAATTTGGCTTTGACTGGACTTTTTTTGACCATAGGAACGCATTAATTGAATTTCAATGCATTCCTATGGGAAACCGTGCTTCGCAAGACGAAAAATTCGCTAGACGAAAAAACTCGCGGAACGAATTAATTTTGTCTTGCGAGGCACCACTGTACCATTTCTTGGACTTTCACAGTATCGAATCTGGGGGGAAATCCAACCCTGACTGAATGGGGGACTTTGACTTCTGTCTCCCTGAGTCACTGACTCTGTTGCACCATTCATTTGTACCCAGACTTACCAATAACCAGTACTGGGAACTCTTTATACGAGACCAAAATCTCCAACGTATAGGGTCAGCCGTCCTCACTCTCAACCATCAGTATTGGTACTGATATGTACCATGGGGACATATTCACCCAGTGCTTTTCAAGCTGCACTGGCTCCCGGTGGAATACAGGGTCAGATTTAAGGTGCTGCTTTTGACCTTTAAAGCCCTTCACGACCTAGGACCCTCGTACCTACGGGACCGCCTCTCCCGGTATGCCCCACGGTCCATAAATAGTAACACCCTAGTGGTCCTGGGCCCTAAGGAAGTTAGATTGGCTTCAACCAGAGCCAGGGCCTTTTCAACTCTGGCTCCGGCCTGGTGGAACGCTCTGCCTCATGAAACCAGGGCCCTGCAGGATCTGATCTCTTTCCGCAGGGCCTGTAAGACAGAGTTGTTCCGCCTGGCCTTTGGCTTGGAGCCAATTTGATTCCCTCCCTCTCTTTCTTTTTTCTTTTCCTTCTCCTCCTGCGAGGAGGCTACATTTTAATATTTTAATGTTTCAATATTTTATTGTTGTATTTTTAATTTTGTTTTTAAGTTGTAATAATTCAACTTGTTTTTATTATTGCTTGTAAGCCGCCCTGAGCCCGGCCTTGGCTGGGGAGGGCGGGGTATAAATAAAAATATTATTATTATTATTATTATTATTATTATTATTATTATTACTGCCTGAGATGCAACAATGGGACTTACCTACTTTATGGCCAGGGAGAGATCTCTAGAAATCCGAACTGGACCGAAATCGAAGCCGGAGGGGCTACACACGTGTACACAGACTCACACCACCCTTCCGAAAATTTGATCTTTGGTTTCCAATGCCTTTTTATGACCCCTGAGCCATGAAAACCCTAACTGCAAGGACTCCGCCTAAGGCAATTCTGTTGCCTATGGAACCTTGGACTCACTCACGACTGGAGAGGGGCAGAGTACCTGGAGGGTTGGCACCATCCTATACACCCCTCCCACACCCCTGTGTGGTACAACGCCGGTCCTTTGAGATGTGGCGGGATTGCTAAGGACAGACGGCTCCTGAATACCACTGACACCTGGTTGGCACCGCGCCCCGGCAGCTTGGCACAGACCTCTCCTTCCTGGGAGAAGATCTCCTTTTGTCCTGGGAGCAGAACTCTTACATCAAACTTCTTAGCCAGGTGGCTAAAGAAACTCCCTACTTGAACTGTTGGATCTGTGCCCACGCACCCACCCACCTCCAGCAAAGTCTTCCACTAGTTCCAGTAGCCATAACACTGGAACAATACCGTTCCGGAGATGTTGCCTCCTGGAACCTAACCACTTTAAACCTTACCCACAAATATCTGTACCTCACAGGTCCCACCAAGGGACCCCTCTGTCGCTGCTTCACCGGAGAAGGGACCTCTATCGGAACTAGCACCTGCAATGTCAACCTCGAGATTCTAGCCACAGGACAAGTGACTGTCACCAACCCGACGCGTTCCCAGACCTTTCCAAACCTCACCCTCGCCTGGGCCAACGCAATCGGCCACCCACCCACTTGGAAGCCACAACACTCAGACCTTATGCTATTGCAGACCTTTGCATCTGGCAGAATGGAATCGTTCCTCAGTGGCTTGTTCTGGGTGTGCGGACACCGGGCATACACCTGGATAAGCCCACACATGTCTGGGTCCTGCTTTGTCGGATACATTGTCCCTGGGATTAGGGTCACCCTGCATCTACCCCCCGGGAGACAGAGGAATAAAAGGGAACCAAAGGACCTGTCAGATCTCTCCGACATCGCTGCCAATGGAGAGACTGTGAGTCGGGCATTGTTCCCTGCTTACGGAGATGGATCTAACCACGTCAACATTCTCAGACTCACCGACATCCTCCTGAAGTTCATGCAAGAAGCCACTCAGATAACAGACTATTTGGTATCTGAGCTCTCTGAGGTAGGTTACAAACGAGGATTGCTACAGACTTTTTATTGTCAAGTCAAGGGGGGACCTGTACTTTGATAGGCGCCGAATGTTGCACATATGTGACTGACCAATCCTTGAACATCACCAGACACTTAAATAACATACACAAATTGGCAGGGAGGCTCAGTGACATTCAACATGAAGGACTGTCAGACTTTGATCTTTGGGGTTGGCTACCCAAGTTAGGCTGGCTTCGACAACTACTCAAAGGGATCGTTTTGACCCTAGGCACCTAGGGTTTTAGACCCCCCCAACTGTCAATCACTGTGCTCTGCAGGAGAAGGCCTCCTGCAGATACCCTCTTATTAAGAGGTCTGTTCTGCAAAATACAGGAGTCGGACCTTTAGTTTTGTGGCACCTGGCCTTTGGAATGCCCTTCCCTTGAATATTACATTTAGCAGGAGCTTGGACTAGACGACTCTACAATTTTGTGATTCTATGACTGGAGTGGTGCCACCTCTTTTTGGTACCAGTTGAAGACCTTCCTCTTCCAACAAGCCTTTTAAGATTAGATATTTCCCAGTCTGCATCTCTACTGGAATGGTCTGTTTTTAAGAGGTTTTTATCATTTTATCACATTTGCTGCCTTGGGCAACTTTGGGATAGAAGTTTAATAAACAAAAAAAAAAACCAAATACATTAATAAAAAAAGTCCCTGACAAGAATACCACTGAATGCAGGAAGAGCAGAGGACTGGAGTTATAGGAACTAATTCATCTTTTTCTCTCTCAGTCCACTTCTATTTTGCTTTGATCCATTTTTAAATCTGTGAGTCCTTTGATTCCCTTTGGCAACAGAATCGATTTTTGGAGCAAAGGGTGAGCTGCTGAAAGAAGAGAGACAAGAGCTATTTATTTTTCCACTCCCAAACCGCTGAAAAATGTCAGATTTTGTGCAGACATGTGGATGCCCTGTAAAGTGATTGAATGAAGCAGGATGTGCCTCACTAAATAGCTGGTCTTGAAGCAGCCTGGTATTCAGTTCTTCCAAACAGGCCAAGATTCTGCCTAGCCCAGATCTCATGGAGACCTCCTGTATGAAAGAGGCAAGAAACCCCACAGAGAACAAATGAGGACCTGGAAGAACCTTCAGAAGCCCCACAAGGCAGCCTGAACCGCCTTGGCTGTTCTTACCACCACCGAAAACCGCCCTGACCACATTCTGAGCCCTCTCTTGATCCCTGATGCTCCCTCTCCGGACCTCAGGAGATGGCAGTGGACCCTGATGGGAAGCTCAGAGCTGCAACACAGGTACTTGCTTGGCTGCCAGAAGGCACCATCACAAGGCATCTTTTGGGGAGCAAAGGTCTACTCAGCTCCTGTGCCCACAGCATACACTTAAAGCACTATGACACCACTCCAGACAGTCAAGGCTTCCTGGGAGCTGTAGTTTGTTGAGGATGCTGAGAGCTGTCAGGAGATTCGTATCCCCCTCACAGAACTTCATTAGTTTGCAGAGACAACACCCTTCCGTTGCCCGCAATACGGTGAAGATATAAACTAGGAAGTATCTGGCCTAGTCAAGCTACTTTCACTAGAATCAAACTTTTCCTGATGTGACCTTGCTGGAAAAGATTATAACAGAGATGAACTCACCTACGTATGTCTGACACTTCCTCCCCTACCCTCCCAGAGCTACAGTTCCCAGAGTAGCTATACAATCAATCCCTCTTCCCAGGAAACTCTGAGAACTGTAGTTCTGGGAGGGGTATAGGGGGCTCCTGACAATGCTCAGCACCCTTAACAGACTACAGCTCCCATAATCCTTTGGGGAAAACATGACTGTTTAAAGAGGTATCATAGTGCTTTAAAGGTATGACTTGAATGTGGCCTAAGCGTTGGCCATGGACAGAATGGGCAGGTTGCATTCAACTGATGGTCAATGATAAGACCTTTCCCTTTTGCTGTAAAGAGCTGTGTGCAATGAGCTGGAGAAGAAGCAGAAGCCGCAGCAGCAACCACCACCTTAGTAATAACCCATGAACTTTAGTGGTAATTTTACTATTGGAAACCAAGCTCCAACTATTCAAAATGCAAGGGAAATCTCCATGCAGTGTGTCACCCATAATCACCAAACTATCATGTGACAACTGCAGCAATAAAAAAGCAGGAACATGGGGATGCAATCACACTCTTTGCAATTCCCAAGTAATCTTCAAAAATCTGGAATGAAGCATTACAGGGCAATGAAGTGATCCTCTGTTTAGAAATCAACAAGCCACTGCTGTCAAAAGGGAGGGATGTTGCCTTAGACAGGGTATCAAAGGCTTGATTCCAGAACTGAACCCAGAGCCTCACAAAAATTCCTGGATATTTCATAGTATCTACAGGAAACTCTGGTATTAAGCATTTGGCAGGTGAAGGACATCATCCTAAGCAGTGAACTTTCCTAATTTTAAAATAATTATAGTTGATTAATGGTGCTGTGACATGCTACAGAGATGTATATAAATGGCCCCCCCCCCCAGCTGATTTCGCAACACCGCAGTCCCAAAGTGCTTAGAATCCAAAGTACATAAATCACCAGGAGCTGCCTTTAGGTTAGAGTACATCTTAAAAAATTATGAAGAGCACCACCTTCTCCCTCCTTAATGCCCTCCCCACTCTCACTTTCTCTGCATTTAAATAAAGTCTTCACAAGCACGACTTCCACTGAAGATTCTTCTTGCTATAATTCAGACACAGCAACACCAAATCATAATCAGAAGAAAATAAAATACAGTTGCAAGGCCAGGCAGAGTTGATGACACCTGGGAGACTGATGGGTAGGAGCTGATAGAGGAGCCAGCAGTGTCAGGCTCGACTCTGTTCATTACCATAATAAAATGGTAATGAAGGCTGAGGGTGCAAATTCAAAATGGAGCCAGATGGATAAACAAGTGCATAGGCACAGTGGCAGAGCTTCATGCTCCGGCACTGGGGGCGGAGAGCAGGCAGGGGCAGGGTTGGCACGCGTCCTGGGGGCGCGGTATGCCGCTTGTGGGGGTGGGGCACCCAGTGTGGGCAGGGGGGGCAACCACGATGGAACCCCACTGGGATTGTGCTGCCGGGGGCGGTGCGCTCCCCCCGTCCCCTCTTCCTCCACCAGTGCATAGGCAGCACATGACTCTGCCTCTGGAACAGAAGCATTGCTTGTAGCCATCTCTGATAATACACTTTCATGATCCTTGTATGATTTTGCTATCCTCTTGGACTACTGTTGTGCTGAATATTTAGCCCACATTTTAATTTTAAGGGAGCCAAGGTGTGGCTGTGAGAGTCCCTTCTCTCATTCTAAAATTATCACCCCAGGGATTTGCATTCTGCAGCTTTCCTAGGCAACCACTCTTCAAAGCCCAGGGAAAGGCACAATAAGGGAACTCCTACTAGGAGGCATATTCAGATCAGGAAGTGTGAGCAGCCCTGGAGGCTGAGAGGTGTTGAGGAAATCATAGCATTGTAAAGTTGGAAGGGCCTCCCCAAGGGTCATCTAGTCCAACCCCCTGCAATGCAGGAATCTCAACTGAAGTATCCATGCCAGATGGCCATCCAACCTCTGTTTAAAAGCCTCCAAGGAGTCTGTTCCACCATTAAATGGCTCTTATCTTCAGAACGTTCTTCCCAGTTTAATCAGAATCTCCTCTTTTGTTATTTGAATCTGTTGGTTTGGGTACCACTCTCTGGAGCAGCAAAAAACAGGCTTGTTTCCATGAGGCAGCTCTCTACAATTCTATGGTTCTATGTAAGATAGCAAGTGGCTTAACATTTTGCCAACTCTGCAGTGGGTGGTACACTCTGCTTGCTGGCTCAGACAGAACACATATTGGAGGGTCTTGCACTTTCTCTGGCTCTCCTCCCACTCCAGGGATCTCCAAGAGAAGGCCTTGTGCAAGACCAGCATTATATGAAAACAGCAGCCTCTCAAGCAGAGAGGCTGAACTGAAATCCATTGACTTTCTGTAATGCTCCTAGAAGGATAGTGTCAGAGCTGCTTCCAGATCCTAGCTCACAGAGGATCACGCTAGCCAGCGATCATTAAACAAAAGTCTTTATTGAGTTACAGTTTCCATTCTCAAACTGCTGCGTGCAACTCTACGTCTCATGGTTAGACCGGCGAAGCTCCGTCTGAGTCTCCGCCCCTTGTACACCAACTTAATATCCTAGCCCTGCTCCACCTTTTCCGCCTGACTGTTCTTCTCTGGGTCCCTCTGCCCCCTGGGGTCTCTTCTTTCCGGGATTCCTCTGACGCTGACCCCCCTGACTCTTCTCCCTCCTTTCGGCGGGCTTTAGGACCTGGCTCCCTTTCCGGGCTGCCTACTGTGCCACCTTCCTGTGCATTTGAACTTGGCGCGCGCGCCCAACCTTCCACCTTCCGTCTGCTCTCTGGCGGGGGCGCTGGTCCCGATTTCCAACTGCTCCCCTCTGAGTCCCCTCTGGCTCTATCTTCCTGGGGCGTCCCCTAGGCTCCCCCTTGCCCTGGCCACTGGTGCTCCTTTCTGTGAATCTTCTGATTCACTGGAAAGACTCGGAGATCTCGGGTCGTCGTCATCACTCATCTTTTCTTCTGCCTCCCCCCCCTCGCTCTCTGTTTCCTCCCTTGCCCTTGCCTCTGCTCCTGAACCCCTGACATCCATCCCCCCCTCGAAGCCCCCTCTTCCCCCCTCCCCTCCTTCCGGTGCGGGATCTGGGTGCTGCCGTGTCAGGGGGGACGAATGTCGGATACAGTTCGCTTCCCGTGGCGGGCCGCCATCTGAAGTCTTCCGGTTCTTCCTCCCTGCTCCCGTTGACGACGGTCACCTCCGCTTCCATCTCTGTGCCGCCGTGCTCGAAACCCGGGTCGTCCCCAAAAACGTCCATGTCCGTCTCTCCCTCGTTACCTTCTGGAGACGTTGCTCGTCCTGGACCCTCCAGCCACCTTCTGCGGAACTGCTCCTCTGGTCGATCATCCCACCAATACGAGGGTTCTGAAGCAGATCCCGAGGGTGACCCCTC